CGTCAAACAGCTGTGATAATTTTCTTACTTCTTACTATGTTAGTTTGTGGTATTTATTTAATAATAACTACTATTTATAAATTTAAATCTAAATTTACTCATTTAATAACTCCACGATCACAATCTGATAATGACGGTAAATATTTTGTATTAAAAAATCTAGATGATAATGGTGATGAAGTTGGTGATGAAACAAAAACTTCATTAATATAAATTAAATTTTATTTTTTTAAACAGTACTTTTGTGTTAGTTTATTTTAATAGTATTATTTTTTTGTATTAAATGTCTTTCATTAAAATAAAATTAACACAAGGTGTTTTCCTATTAGTTAATTCATATTGATATATCAATTTTGTTTTCGTTAAGGCGTGTGGGTGGGGGTGAATGAAGTTTATGAAAAGAATAATATCACCTACAGCCATACCATCACCCACACCCTCTTCTTATGACGTTGATCTTCACTTAACATCACAGATTTTAAGTTGGATTTATTCGATTTGGGTTTCGCCCATAGATTATGCGATCTGTTACTGCATGACGAAAGCGACTTGATGAAATCAAGAACATGTAGAAGTTACCCTAAAAATAGTTCGAAAAAGTATGTATTAGATAACATGACAAAGAAGACACGTACCATATAATACAGATAACCTATGAGACCAACGATTGTCGAGGTAAAACTTTCTTCCAATTGTTGATTAACATCTTTAGTCATTCCAGCTGTGATCAAACCGTAAGCATTATTAATGCCATAGGGAATGATACTAATAATAACAAGAAATATTTGAACCAAAGTCATTTTTGTCACTTGACGATCAGCACGTAGCTCAGCAAGCACAATTGTTAGGCGGATATTACGATAAGTCAGCCATCCAAACACGATAATTACTAGGACTGGAATGACACAAAGAACGACGAGAAGGTATACCGATACATAAATGGCATAGACATTGTTAGTGCGCACACATGTATTACTGGTTGGTGAAATATTTTGGAACAAAATCCAAGGAATTCCTTGAAGATACCAGACAACGATAGCAAACAATACAATTCGATGAGCTAATTCTATTTTACTGTAACGGCGAAGATGAGCACTTTGTGATGTTGCTAGAAATTGATCGATTGTAGCCAAACATAAACAAGTGAACGAAATCACACTAATAGTGCTAAGGAAAAACGATCGTGCCTTGCACCAAGCTAATGAAGTGCGAGTTAAATCAAATCCAGAACCTACACTAACAACACGAAACGTAAGATTAATCGCTAGGTAAAGGAAGTTGTGAATTGAACCAACAAGGAAATAGAATGTAGAAGGAGTTTTGCGATAGGTACGCACACTTAAAAATATGAAAATGTTTATGCCATTACCGAGTATACGTGCAATAAGAATAACAGAACCAACATAGATCGTTAACTGCTCACCGACGGATGATAATGACATCACTATTTTTTAACTCTAAATGGCGTTCAATAATCTATAAGGAATTACTTGTAATTTCAAATTATGAGTTGTAAAAGTATAGAGGGAAAAAAACGAAAATTAAACTGGTAACTAGTTTTACCTGAAATCTCAAACTCGATTTCTAGGTAACAACGACATAAGATGTTTTTAGTGAGATTTTGTTTTTCTATCACAAAAGATACGAGTTTTTAATGTAGAAAATCATGGATTAAACCAGTCTTTCTACTATTATAAAAGCCATTTTTGCAGAGAAAATTATTAGTTAGAATAAGTAAATATAAAAAGAGAAGAACAGACTGATAGACGAGTTATTTTAAAATAGTGAGAAAAAAACGAAGCCGCCGCTAATTGTTCATTCTGATTATTTTCTTGTGTCAGAACATATTATTTATTGGAGTGTTTCTAATTACTGCGTAGTCTATTGCTTATTCAAAACCACTATTCCTGCATATAGCGCTTAATCTTCTCAATGAACATATTCCTCTAAATGATACTCCATTTAAAAATAGCTGTCGAGTATTTTCTCGCTTTTGTTTCGACAAATTTTACCTGATTAGAAAATGTCTTCATTAAATATTTTAATGAATAAGACTTCTACGATTGATACGTGCTGGTTCGACTTGTGTATGAGCTGTTCTTATCAGATATTCATTAAAAAATGACGCGAGTAAACAAGACAATATTTATAACTTTTATGTTGGCTCATTAAATAAACCCTATATATTTAATTAGCAAATCGTACGGAAGTAATACTTTTAGTGTCGGTGGCTTCTAGATATTGATGAAACGAGCTAGAAACTTCAATTTTTTTTAATCAGAAAGGGCATGAAATACGCAAAAAGTATATTTAACAAGCTGAATATAGTCTATAATGCTACCTATAATTATTTTTTTAATTTAAGACTTGCATTATTGTATGCAATTTATATCACATAACTGAGGAAGCATGTGCAAGATCAGAATCCTTATAAAATGGAGACTGTTTTTCTTAGGATGGGGTGAAGTAGAGCAGGGTTTAATTAAATCTTTGAAGTTTCCTCGTGTTTTTTCCATCAAAAAAAGAAAGAAAGATATTTTTTGGAGCATTAAATGAGTGATGAAATAGTAAAAGACGAAGTCGATATTTCTGTAGACTTCAGAATGGATAAAGATAAGAATTGATCTAATCCATTATTCTCTTGGCAAGAATACGTAAAATTTTTGCACATCGCTCTAAATTAGCATATCATGTGTAATCAATAGCACACAGTACAGCGGCTGTCGAAAGAGAATATTCGAATGCAGGTTAAGTTGGAAACGGCAGACGATTTTGTTTCAGCACTGAACAATTAGACCAATCGATGGGGAAACTATACTCGTCTATGAAGAAATGCTATACTCATATAAAGTCACACATATACATATATCTAACACTCACTGCTCTTATACGTATATCTCACTTAAAGCAGAAATTATTTTTTGAAAGAAAAATGTTTCAACAACACGAAGTAATGGAAAGAAAGAATATAAACATATAGCTACTATTCACTTATTCTTGCACGTGCATATCTGCTTGTGTAGTTAGAAATGGTTGAAGCATTTCTCTTTCCTGCTAATCTATTTCTTCTAAGAATATCTATTTCTGTTAAAAAATCTCGTAAGAACGAAAAAGGAAAATAATTGATCTCTGCTTTAGACTTTTGTGTTTCTGCTAGTGAAGACAGAAATGGTTGAAGCAAATCTTTTTGTGAATAATTCATTTCTTGTGACGTACTATTAAGGCCCCCCCCCACCCTAAATGTCAAATTTTTCGATTTTTCGATTTATAGTGCGTCAGATAGAGCAAAGTGTCAGCTATCGAACGCACTATAATTCATTGGTTTTATGATGAGTTTTCACGACGAAAAATCGATTTTTCAGAAACCCCCTACTCTCGAAAATAACATTTTGCAACAACTGAGGGTGAGTGTGGGTGTCAAAATAAGGTTAACGCAATACTCACACCTACACCCACCCTCTGCATGTGTCTGTTGAGCTTGTTTTAACCAATGATTTGTGAGAAATCAATGAAAAATGTATTTCATTTCATGTTACCACAGAAACGTCATCAATTTCACTTCTCACGATTCTTTCACATTTTTCTCATGATGCGATTTTTTTTTAACACTTTCGTATTTCCCAAATCCTTTCGCCATTGTAAATGGTGCAAAGCTCGGGTTGGTTTCAAAATGAAGAGAATGTTTCACTCTACAACTTAACAGAGCCGAAATTTCAGATTTTTTGTTTAATACCTCATGATATGAAAATCTATCACAGTACATGCCCTATCATTATCGTACACCTTAGGAA